GGAAGAACAAGTATTGATCTCAGTGCGGTGTCACCCTTTATGAACTGTTTGTACTTTCATCTAGGACCACATAACACCTACAGACATGATAGTAGTATGAATGTAGAGTGAAGACGCTGGTCTTTAATAAAACAATGAACTTTTATTCAGGCTTTTTAATGGTAACATTTTGAGCACTCATAGTTAGCGGGTTTTCATTCTCTCTAGATTCAAGATCTTTGGCTAGACACCAAATACCAACAGCCCGATCACAGTAAACAGAAGAAATTTTAGACATTCATTTAAATATGTGCCTTAGAAATGTCAAAAAAGTTTGGCACAAGGTAGTAAATTTAAAATGAGGTTATGTAGATAAGTTTGTGAATGAGACTTATCACGTTTGTGTTCTTACACGTTTACGCATAGACACTATATTGAAAATCTATAATTTTACCTCCGCGAAGTCGAAACAACCACAATCCTAACGAAACGAACTCTTCACGCAGCAAACAACACTGTTGTGCACTGTTGCCCGTAGTAGTCTCGTTGCAGGGTATGGTTATTAACGTGTCCGTGGGACCGTGGTTCCAGAAGTGAGGACTTAGGATGGCAAGTAACTTCAACGGGCTCTGATACCGAACTGACGTTTATTATTCTGAGATAACACAGGTAAACATTTCACAAGGCAGTGCCTTACACAACGCCATCTGGCGGACACGACAGTTATGTGCGTCCACTTCCACTGAGGGGCTGGGGGTATCGCCGCTCAGGCGCTGAGGGTAGGCCACTATCTCCACACAGACATTTGGCGGGAAGGCCTACCCTAAGCGCCGCAGGCGTTGACATTCGGATTCGGAAAACGTGGCTTTTGGACTTGCCTTGACCAACATTGTTTCTATGAAACAAATTAAATGGAAGTTACAGAGATTAATATGGCCTTTCAAAATAACGTAAATCAAGATTTATCATGAGAACGTTTCAAATGTTCCAAGTTGTATTGGGTGCTCCTCGATGCGTGTACATTTCGTTTTGGTGGCTGGGATATACCGCCTACATCGATGGGGCAGGAAAGGGGGTGGGGGGTGCGATGCCGCTGCCCCCGCCCCTTTGGCAGTGAGGTGTGTGGCTGTGTCGTTGTGGACCCGCGGAGCATCTCAGGCACGCGGACACGCTACTTGCACCACGCTATTTACACTGACAATGTTAATTATCGAGTCATTTTTTTTTCAAAATAAATTCTTTATTGTACACCGCACTTAAATATTAGTACTACAAGACATACTTGTTAGGAATGCATTCAAGATCAATAAGAAACGATTTGTGAAGGGTGAAACTCGATAATTTCCCGGCCGAATGAGAACGAAAATTAAGATTACAAAAAACAAAAGACGGAAAACGAAAAAGATTAGAAACGAAAAGAGCAGCTTCTTTGGCGCTTGCTGCTGGAGCCTGGAGGCGACTGGAGTCCTCCAGCGAGTGGTGCGTGGCGGCCTGCTGCCCTCAGTCATCGCCGCACATGACCGCCATGAACTCTAAACGGAGGGAGAGAAAGAGAGTTGAAACGATTAGAGGAGGCCATCAGAGCGGGGCAATTAAAGGTGCCCGGCGAACACAAACGCCCAGGTGTGAAATGCGGTCACCCGGGGCCGGGCAGGGCGCCCCAGGCTGGCGGCGTGCCAAGAGCGCGAGCGTTGGGCTGCCTACCGCCACGGCGCCGACCCAACCGGCCGCGGGACCCACCCGCGGGACTCACCCTCAAAGTCCACGGTGCCCGAGCCGTCCGCGTCGATCTCGTCGATGATGTTGTCCATGTCGGAGGGGGTGATGGTGCCGTCCAGCTCGAACAGGATCTCCCGCAGCTGCTCCGTCGTGATGTAGCCGTTGCCTGTCACCATCACACAGTACATTAGTTTACAATCACGGACGGACCGCGGTGATATGGCCGGTTTCAATTATTTGTTGTTTTTTTTTTCCTTTTGTCTGCGATTCGCACCTTCTCTATCGAACAGCAGGAACGCCTGACGGAGCTCGTCCTTCAGCATGGAGGTGTCCTCCTCGACCATGAACTTGGCGGCCAGGTTGGCGAACTCCTCAAACTCCAGCTCGCCGGAGCCTTAGGGTACAAGATACACACACAGTAAAGACAATAGTTAATTACCACATATTTCCCACCCCTTGCTGAAAGTAACACTTCATTTTAATTTTACTCATAGCACGAGCACGGTGTCAGCAGGCGGTGAAACACAGTCTACCTCTCTGTCCAGGGAGTTCATATGTTCCCTAAACGTTGGCACCGTCGCACAACTCACACTGACTTACCGTCGGCGTCCGCCTCGGCGATCACCTCCTTGAGCGCGTTGCCCGACACCTTCTGGCCGAACATCTCCAGGATGGGCTGCACCATGTCCGTGCCGATGCAGCCCTTGTTCTCCGTGTCGAAGGAGTCGAAGGCCTTCCGGAGCACTGCGGGCCGACAACAAAAACAACAACCGGCATGGTCATTCCCTGTCAGTCTGAGCCCCATACCACACCCACATGGTCGCCGGGCTGGACCACAGTCTACACTACCGTCAGCGCCCCGCCGCACCCCCGCACGTGCGCGACGACTACTCACTGGCCATCTGCTGCTTGTCGAGGTTCTCCTGGAAAATGGAAAGGAAAACACACGATCACTCCAGAAGACTGGCCATCACACTATCACGCGGTCGTCGTCGGCCTCGGCGTTTCCATACTTTCGCCATCGCTTATCGATAGTATTGGCGTCGGTGGCGAGTGCCGCACTCACCATGCTGCCGCCGAGCGAGCGCGTCCAACGAGTGGGTGGCCGGGCCGGTCGCGCATCGCTGATCGGGGAGGAGCAGGAGCAGGAGGAGGAGGAGGCGGAGGAGGAGGCGGAGGAGGCGGAGGAGGAGGAGGG